TAGGGTGACTCAGAAATGACAAGTTAAAGTGGTAATTTTTTATTTTATTAGGGAAGGTGCCATTGAGTGGGAGTGTTACTAGGAAGTGATTGTTGACTCAAAACAAAATCTAAAATGTTTTTCTAAAAATGAACAATTGAGTTAGGATAGCTGGGAATTTTTATACAGATTTCCTGCACAAAATAAGCTAATGAGTGCCTAAGAAAGACAACTGTCTCCCAACATCACTCCCACCCTGTTCTCTCTGAATTCAATCCGTATTTGCTAAACCCCTTCACCCTCCCAACCCCTCCCACCCCAAGATGTAAACTCCCTGATGTCAGGGTCTATTTATTCCATTTAGTGTCTTGGCATCCTCGAGCCTAGCACAATGCCTGGAACATAACAGCTACTTAATAAATGTGTGCTAGATTGAATTAAGGTCTGGAGCACTGTACCAGCCACAAAAGAAATAGAATATGTTATCTCTGCCTTAAAGAAGCTTATAATCTAACTGAAAATTGCTCTGACTTAACCCTTCTTAGCAATACAAGGATCTAAGACATCTCCAAAGGTCTCATGATGGAAAATGCTATCCACAAAGAAGAAAGAACTATGGAGTTTGAATGCAGATCTAAGAACACTGTTTGCTATTTTTTTTCTTCTGTTGTGTTTTGTTTCCTCTTTCTGGTGGTTCCTCCTATTGGTTCTAATTCTTCCTTACAACATCACCAATGTGAAAATGTTTAATAGGAATGCTATATGTATAGCCTATATCAGATTACACGCCATCTTGGGGAGGGAAGTGGGGAGGGAGTAAGGGAAGGGGAAAAATTTAAAACTCAAAAACTCATGGAAGTGATTGTTGATCATTTGAAATAAATTAATTTAAAAAAAAATTTTAAATTAAAAAAAAAGAAAAGAAAATTGCTCTGCATGAAGCAGTTACCATAGAGAATAGTTAAGGGCCAAACTGATATTGGTTGTATATGTAAGTGGAGTTCATGGATAATGAGTGATGACATCAGTAGTGGCTGAGACAGTCCCAGAATATCACCAAAGTATCTTCTTGGCAAACCATTCCAGCATCTTTGCCAAGAAAACCCCAAATGGTCACAGAGAGTTGGATACGACTCAGACGACTGAACAACAACAGTAAAAACAACATTTCCCCTTTGAGAAAAAGGGGGGGGGAGTGAAGGAGCTACCTCGTAGCTCTTGGGAGATTCTTCTCAACAGGGCCTTTGGCTTGCCCGCCTCAAAGTCTGAAGACTGCTGGGCTCCAGTTATTATCCACCTGAGGCTCTGAGCCTTGTCAAAAGTGAAATGTGGCCTTAGACTAGCAACCTACACTAAAAAAAAAAAATATCCAAAATGGATAACCGACCCAAATATAAAAGGTCACTCAAATAATGCATTTTTTTTAATTAAAAAATGTGGAGAATGGAAGGAAATGCCTCTCACAACCTCGGTTAGGGAAAGTATTTGTAACCAAACAAGGTAAACAGAGATTACATAAGACAAAATGGACAATTTTGACTGTATAAGATTTAAAAGCTTTTGCACAAACAATACGACTTAAATAAGACAAATTTAATGTGAAAAAAAATGTCTTTGCACCAACCATCTCTGCTAAAATTTATACCCAAGATGTATAGTGTGGGCATGTAAATATACAAGACTTTGTATTAGATTGTACATACATACATATATATATATACACATACATATATGTAATTATACATATGTACTGTTATAAATTATTAGGACATATAAATATAATTCTTCAATATATAAACAGGTAAAAAGGATATGAATGGCTTTCAGAAGAAGAAATGAAAACTATTAACAACTATATAAAAATGCTCCAAATTAAATATAAAAGCAATTAAAATTCAAACAAGGACCAGGGCCCCTTCTCTACAATGACTCCCTTCTCTCCAATGACAGAGCAGCCTTCTCACCCTGGAGAGACTTCAGCCTTCTGGTTCCCTGGAGGATCACTCCACCCCTGCAGCCCCTTCCTCAGTTGGGTGGTTTCCACTAGAACTTCCATTTTAAGGAAAGTGCCCAAAGTCTACCATGTTCCTTCCTTCATTCCTCCCTGGGCACTCCTCCTTGAGAACAGGTACTCTCTTTCTGCTTGTATATTCCCAGCACTTACCCCAGTAATCTGGCACACAATAAGCGCTTAATAAATGTTTGTGGACTTACTGGCCAATTTCACCTCATATTCATCAAAATGGCACAGATACAGGCAGAAAATATTGGAGGAACTATGAGAAGACAGGCACACTAACACTCTAGGTGGATCTATTTAGAATTACACAAAAACAAAACAAAAAGTCACTAAACTGTTCAGAACATTTGACCTAGCTATCTTCTATTTGTTATATATCCCAAAGAAAGTCAGAGGCAGAAAAGTCTCATACATGCCCCAGTAGTCACAGCAGCAGTTTCAGAGTCACAAAACAAATCTAAAGAAAGTAGAACTCATTGGGAAATGACTGAACAAAATGGTGGTGTAAGAATGTAATAGACTGTTACTGCCTCATATATAATGACAAATATGGAGATTTAGAGAGACATGACTTCCTTATTTGAACTGTGAAATCGATACAGAGTGAAGAAAGCAGAACCAGGAGAACAGTATACAAATGACTACAAACGTAAACGAGCACAATACCAAGACATAAAAATCCACACTAAATGCAACAACCAATCATGGTTCCAGAAGACTAATGATGAAACTAACACATTTCTCTCTTCTGAGCAGACAGGATAGGGGTGCAAAATGTTGTGTAAAGTGTAAGAAGCAGTCACTTTGTGAGTTGGTTTTGTGGAATTATTTATTTTAAGGGAGAAGGTATCGATAAAACTTTAAAAAGAAGAAAAATACCTATAGGCCATGGAATGGGGAATTTTCTGACGTTACAACTATTTGCATTTACTTCTAAGTTATATTAAAATGTATTCCTTTACACACATAGGCTCATGCAATCATGGAAGATGTTCCATGGAGGGTCCAAATGGAGGAGGGATTCATTGCCTATAAATAGTGAGTTCCACCAGATTCTACTGTTTGTGGATAACATTGTCCTGATTATATCAAAACTTAGAACAGTAAAACAAAACAAAAAGACAAAGACAAAACAAAACACCCTCTCCCAAGATCCATGATACTAAAAAGAGGTCAGCATAATAATCTAATACAGGAAAAGAAAAAGCAATAGAGGAAAAATGTCTATTGTCCAAACTGTGACAGGCAGTTAGATGGCTAGTATAGCCTGTATAGGAAGTACAGATGGACAGTGAGCTGGGCCCAGAGGTGAACAAGTAGGAGAGAGTGAAAGCTTCTACTACGGTGTAGTGAAAAGGGAATTGTCTTTTTTTAAATTTTTAATTTGTATCCCAGTGCTGGCATATTATTAAATGCTTGTTGAGTGACTAGATTGGATTACATTTTGGAAATTGCAATGTCTTCTCTATCATACACACATATGTATGCATGCTCACATATACACCACACCACACACACACACACCTTTTTTTTTTTTTTTCAACACAAATGTTCTCCCAGAACCGAAGGGTGGTGAATCTCGGAACACAACAACCGCTAATGAATCATAGTAGTTGGTGACTCCAAGGACAATGGAAAAGACAAATAGTAGGCTAAGTCAGCCGCAACATTAGACATATGCACAAAAAGTGGCATAAAAAATATAATCCAGGAAAAACGTAATTAGAAAAGGTAATAGGCTAGCCATGTACTGAGAGTGAGGAATGGACAACTCCAGGACTGCCAGCAGAGAAAAAATATTTTTAAAAAGGCCTGGAGGAAGACCTTCTATGCACTGGATGGATCCTCAGTCAGTCAGTAAACACCTACTAATCAAATCTATGGAAGAGTATGGTATGGAGAAGAACCGGAGGATCGGCTGGATGGGATGTTATCTATAACAGTGGAAATAATACTAACAACATTGAGGTAACAGCTCTAATTAAGTGCTGACATATTATAAGGTCTAACTAGAGCTGGATCTAGGGACCTGAAGGGCAACCTAGTCTAACCTTCTCCATGACTATGTGAGCCTATGAATTTAAGGGAAAAAATTTCAATATAATTTTAAACATAAATGCAAACAAACTTAACATCAGGAAATTCCACATTCCATGACCCAAAGGTGGCTTTTTTTTTCCTTTAAAGGTAGTCTTCTTCTTTCTAAAGTTTTACTGATGTCTTTGTTTTTAATCCCAGTTACTTATTTGTAAGGATGAAGACATTGAAACTCTGCTCCCTCCCTACCCCAGAAGCCTTGTCTGTCCCTAAACTGAGCTACCTGGAGGTCTTAAAGGCATAAAACCTTTGGTTTGTAAGGGGAAAGGTCGAATGGTATGGAATCAGGAGCCAACTAAAAGTAACCCATTTATTCTTTCACTCATTCAACAAATTTATTAGTTGAATGAATAAAATATAATTAAAAGCTATTTCAAAAAGAATCCACCCTTTATTATCCCTTCTCTCGCATAAGGATTTTCCTTAATTTCAAGAAGGCTAAAGAAATACACATCTGATGTCTCACAGCCCGCCCCAGGGACAAGAACCCAGGCGTCTTGCCTCCCAGGCTATTGTCTTAAGCACCTGGGGTTTTCTATACTGCTCTTATCGAAGCTTGCCATTCCTGTCTTTTTTCTGGTGGCCCAGCGCCCCCTCGGGGTAGAAGCCTCCACCGTGGCACCCACCCAGGTGAGTCATTGCACCAAAAGCCTCCACGGCTGCTGGGAACCTTCCCCCAGCCCCTGGCCCCACTCCGACCGTGAGTCACGCTGTCCTCTCCCCATCCTCGTCCCATCAGCAAAGGATGCTTGTCCACCCTCTGCTAGAATCCCCTCCTCCCTCTTCGCCCGTGGCTTATCCATCCGTGACTAGCTACCCGCTGCCCTCCGGGCAGGGCAGAGGAGAGGGGAACTGCCTGCCCCCCCCATCTCTTCGTGCAAGCCTGCGGGGCCCCGAGTCTCACCCGCCGCTCCCGGCTGCAGCTGACAGCTCCGACACCCGGCCATCCTCCTCCACCCAGGGAGGCGTCTGCATCTGGCCCGGCATCTTCTCCGAGGGGTCCCCAACGGCGACGTCCAATGCAGGGAGGGAGGGAGGAAAGCTTCCCCCGTTCCTCCTCCGGGCTTCAGGGTGTGTGCGTCAGGCCGGGGAGATGTTGGGGTGACGGGGCGCTGAGCCTCCACCCCGGCCGCCTGCTTGCTTGGCCCCTTCCCTCCCTCTCACTCCTCCTGGGGCTCCCGCTGGCTAGAATCTGGTGGGGCAGTGGGAACGCTGGCTAGGCGCGGAACGCTACCGAGAGGCACGTTTGCATCTTTCGGGGCTGAGGATGCCCGGTAAACGGGAGGAGCTCGCGCATCCTAAGCAGGAGATGACGCCCAGTGCATCCTAAGCACGGAAGTGTGGGCACGCCTCCGTACGGGATCCCTCAGCTGGAAATATAATAATTATCATTACTATTATAATTGTAATTTAAAACATTTTAAAACCTCCCAGCTAAGCTCTCTGTTCAGAACATCACCCCAAATAGCAATGCCCGGGATCTGCCAGAAGCCTGGCTAGGCGGTGGCTCCAGGGCAGTCCTAGGCAGGGATGTGCTCCCGCCCCTCCCGCAGGTGGATGGGTGGATGGTTGGTCCAGAGCCAAGCTTTATTCCTGGATCAGACCTCGTCCATTCTGCGCCTGCGTGCCTGTCGAGCTGCTAAGCGAACCCAAGTTGACCTCAGCGTCGTTCTCTACTCTTTAGAAAGCCTGGCCCTCTTGAAGACCCGTAGTAGGAGGCGGGACGGCGAATGATAGAACGGGGCGGGGACAGAGGGCGGGACCTCGGTCTCGATTGGCTCTCGCGCCCTCCGGAAGTCGAGTCGCGGCCTGTGCGCACTCCGAAGTTGCCGGGACACTCTAGGCGTGCTGCTGCTTCTCCAGCTCTGTCGGTCTCGGCGGCCCCCCACGAGGGTCAGTATGCCTCGGTACGCGCAGCTGGTGATGGGCCCCGCCGGCAGCGGAAAGGTCAGTGTTGGCAGGAGGCTGCTGGAAAGGGGGCGGAAACTTTAAGACTCCCCGTGACCCCCCTGGGTGGCGGGGAGCTTAAGATGGGGACACAAGACACAGACACTGGGTTCTACAGCCGCCCCTAGACCCCGGGGGGGGGGGGGAGGAATGCCCGGGATCTTAGAACAAGGACTGGTTCAGGAGCTGCCTTCTAAGTGTCCTAGGAATGCAAATATAAACATTAGAGAATCTGAAACAACATTCAGTTCAGGGAACACTTATTAGGCGTCTGCTGTATGCTAGGCACTTAGTAGGGTAAGGGTGGCACAGCCGGCCTCGAGGGTGAGAAGACATGGATTCGAGTCCTTGCCCTTTGGCACAGGCTGGCTGTAGCATCTTGGGCAAGTGTAGAAGAGTCAGCATCTGCAGAGATGGAGGGCACGATCACACTGTGAGTTCCAGGCCCACTCTACTCCCAACCATTCAATAATCAATGGATCGATCGATATTTATTAAGGTCCTAGTATGTGACAGGCACTGTGCTTAGCACTGGAGATGCAACCTAAAAGGAAAAGAAATGACCTACACTGCCCCAGACCCTAGAGATATCAAAGAAGGCTGGCTGGCTAACATCAGTGCAAGATAGATACTCTCCTAGCTGTGTGACCTTGGGCCTGTCACTTCCCTTCTGTTGTAAAATTGGGGTCCTAATAGCTACCTAGACCACAGGGTTTTTGTGAGGCTTAAGTGAGATGATACCGTGGATAGTAAATGTTAAAACATCAGGGAAAGGTCAGTTGCTGTCCTGTACTAGGGACCTTTCCAATTTGATGCTTGCCCAAGATTTTTATTCAGGGGGATGGACAGCAGTGGAGACCTTGAAGGCACTAACTAGTTGCTACCACCTAAAGATTTTTCATGCTAAGGGTGTAGCATCTTAGATTTAGGGCTGTAAGTGACCTTAGAGGTTATTTAGTTCATCCCTTTCATTTTGCAGAAAAAGCAGCTGAGACCAGTGACTTGCCCAAGCCAAGTTCTCTCTTTTACTGCACTTCACTCTTGTTGGAAAGACCTGTGTTCCAAACTTGCCTTTGGTTCTTCAGCCAATTTGATCTTGGGCATGTCACACACCTTTCTCTGGGCCTCAGTTTCTTCCTTTGTAGAAATGATGAAGCTGGACTCTCCAGCCCTTATCAGCTCAAAAGCCAAAATCTCTAGGATGAAGATGTTGAAGTAGTTGGCCTCTGAGGTACCTTTCAGCTCCATAACACGATGGCTATAGGATTTAATCATTCAGTCTTTCATAACTTTGTGAAGGGCTTCCAATACCTGTAGAGGTTCTGTGGAGCTATTTTAAGTGTGGCATAATGAAACAATCAGAAGGGATCACAGAGACGAGTGTAAAAGAGCAAAAGTGAATACTGCTTCTTGGATTCAAAGCCAGAAGAGAGTGATTCAAATCCTGTCCCTCTTCTAGGCTCCCAATCCAGGATTCTTTCTGGACTCTGACTGTCTCTCACCCCCCCCCCTCCAAGCTATTCCCATAGTTTGCTGATTTCACCATTGTGACACTCTTGTCCATTGCACCTTTCCAGAGATTTTGCAACATCTTTGGTCAGTTTTACCTTTGCAGCATCTTTTGTCCATTTCACCTTTGCAGCATCTCTAGTTGATTTCATCTTTGCAACATCTCTGGTCAATTTCACTTTTGCAGCATCTCTAGTTGATTTGCCTTTGCAACATCTCTTGTCCATTTCACCTTTGCAACATCTCTGGTTGACTTCACCTTTGTAGCATTTTCAAATATACCTCCTTTGCTCCTCTGACCCTGCCATCCCCCTGGTACAGGCCCTCATCACTTCACACCTGGTGTATGGCAGTAGCTGCTGGCGGGTGCAGAGATCCTGCCTGCCTCCAGTCTCTCCCCACTCCAGTCTATTCTCCACCCAGATGTCCAAGTGATCTTCCTAAAGTATAGATCTTATAATGTCACCCTTTACCTTGGTACAGGCCTTCGTCACTTCACACATGGACTGTTGCAGTAGCTGCTAGTGGATCTGCCTGCCTAAGGTCTCTCTCTCTCCATTCCAGTCCGTCTCTGGAGATTCCCTTTTGCCTCCAGAATCAAATACAAAATCCTCTTCCTGGAGTTCAAAGCCTTTCATCACTCAGCTGCCTCTTGTCTTTCTAGTCTTCTTATACCTTACTCCCCAACATGGCTTCTTAGGTCCAATGACACTGGCCTCCTGGCTTTTCCTCAGATAAGAACTCCATTTTTCTCGTTCTTCTAGTTCCAGCTAAAACCCCATCTTTCTACCAGAAACCTTTCTCAATCCCACTTAATTCTAGTGCCTTCCCTCTATTAATTACTTCCTACTTGTCCTGTAAATAGCTTATTTATACATATTTGTTTGCTTGTTGTCTCCTTCTTTAGATTGTAAGCTCCTTGAGGGCAGGGACTGTCTTTTCCCCTCTTTTTGTATCCCCAGCATTTAGCATAATGCCTGGCACATAGTGGGTGCTTAATAAATGTTTATTGACTGCCTCACACTGTATGTTCACCTGTAAAATCAAAGGTTTAGGTAAATTATCTCCAAGTCTTTTTCAGCTCTGGATCATATGAGATCCAATAATTTCAAGGCTCATTTCATCTTTTGTGTCCCCAATGGTAAGCAGTAGTCCTGACAATCTGCATTTAATTGCTTTTCCTACATGCTAGGTATCCAGAGGTGCAACAACAATGATCAATCCGTCCACAGACATTTATTAAATAATTACTGTGTGCTGAGCACTAGGGGTACAAAGACAACAATCTATGCATAAGCATTTATTAAGTGCCTCCTGTATGCCAGGGGCTACTGGTAAATGCTGGAAAATACGAAGACGAACATGAGCCAGGCCCTGTCCTCAGGAGAGACAAGGGAAATAGCATTAAAACAGCAAAGTGCAGACATGATGATTCAACAAGCAATTATTAAGCACCTATAATGTTTTAGACAATAATGTACAGAGATGCCTCAATGGCCCCTTCCCTGTCCTTGGTGTCTGAAGCTGTACTCAGGGCTAAGAGAGAAAGATGTGAAGCTGCCTCTGCCCTCGAGGAGCTCACTATACTTTGGAGGTCAAGGATTGTGGATTTAGTACTAGGAGGGATCTTAAAGGCCATCAAAGCCAACCACTCTATTTTAGAGCCAAAAAAACTGAAGCTAAGTGAAAGAGCCAGGATTTAAACCCAGGTCCTCTGATTCTGGCACCTCAGTGTTACAAGTGGCCTGGAGTCAGGAAGACCTGAGTTCAAATCCATCCTCAGACATTTACTAGCCATGTAACCCTGGGCAAATCACTTCACCCTGTTTGCCTCAGTTTGGACACTACTGAACAAAAAAAACGGCCTCTGACCCTCAATCCAACACTCTTCATGTTATTCCATATCAGTCAGTCAGTAAGCATTTATTAAGTGCCTGCTGTGTACTATACTAGGGAGTGGGGATACAAAGAAAGATAAAAGACAGCCCTTGCTCCCAAGGTGCTGCACTCCTTGTCTAGTGGGGGAGACAACATGCAGAGAAGCTAAAAGCAGGATATATAGGAAATAATCAACAGAGGGAAAGCCCCGGGCATGAAGAGGGGTCAGCAAAGGCTTCCTGTAGAAGGGGGGGACTTCAGCTGAGAGGAAGCCCAAGAAGGCAGGAGGGGGTACCATGTTGCTTCTTTAGTGTTTCCCTGGGTTTTTACTGAATATTTTCTGACAAATATTGAACTAGAAGTTGAATACTATCTCCTCATAGCAATGCCTGGAGCTCAGGAGCACACATGCTGATTTTTCTCATCTGATGGATGGGGAAACTGATGCTCTGAGAGGCAGTGACTTGCTGCAAATTGCATGAGTTGGGAGGGTCAGAACTGTCTCTTTTCCCAGTACTGGCCGTGCCTGTCTCAAATAGTGCGAATCTGAAAGAGAATTCTATTCGATAAGCATTTAAGTACTTACTGAGTGCTGAGTCCTTGGGGACCCCAATGGGAGAAACCCTTCAGCTCCTGCCAATGGGATGCTTTTACTCCCCCCCCAAGGTAGACTCTGATGAGGGCAAAAGAGAGAGGCAGACACTAGGCCTCTTGGAAAACTGAAGGTGGAGGAGATCCGCAACAGTACCGTGCACCTCGAGTACACCCGGGCTGGGCAGGTGCAGCTGTACTTGGAGGCAGGAAGGTCGGGTTCCTAGCCTGCTCCTGGTGCTTACTGGCTGGGTGACCCTGATAACCCTACCTTGCCTCAGTTTTCTCATCTGTAAAATGACCATAATAATAAGAGCACCTACTCATAGGGTTTGGGGCATCCAGGTGGTGCAGAGGAGAGAGCACTGGACCTGGTGCCAGGAAGACTGAGTTCAACTCTAGCCTAGACACTTCCTAGCTGCATGACCCTGGGCAAGTCACTTCACCTTGGCTGCCTCGGTTTCCTCATCTGTAAAATGAGCTGGAGAAAGAAAGGGCAAACCACTCCAGTATCTCTGCCAAGAAAACTCCAAATGGGATCACGAAGAATTAGACATGAATAAAACAACTGAACGACAACTCAGAGTTATTTGGAAGATCAAATGAAATAAGGCATATAAAATGCCTTGCGAATATAAATTGCTGTGACAATAATAGCTAATATTGATATGTGTCTATTTGCTATATTTAAAAAATAATATGCTTATATAAATATTATTGTCCCAATAATAACTTTCTATATGCCAGCTGTTCTTATTAGAAGAGGCGGGACCTGTGATTTCATTGGTTTAAGGATGTCCTTGGATGGGAAAGCCTCTCCACTGGTTCAGATTGACCCCCTTATCTTTGAGAGTTGAGTTACCCGTTACGTGTCAGGGGCTCAGAGGCAGCCTTGGACCCAGATCCTACTGGTGTGGGGGTTCTCCATGTGCTGGGTCACAGAGCCACTCAGTTGATTGTCATTTTTTAATTTTAATCTTTTTTCAGTGGACAAGCATTTATTTTCTTTCTTTTTCACCTCTACCCTACCCTCCCTTGTAACTAATGATGTTTAAAAAAAATCTCCTTTGGAATCTATCCCACCCACTCAGACCTTCTTCATCGCTTGGCTCCTGATGTTGTTTTTGGGTTGTTTTTTTAGAGCACTGAGGGTTTATTGTTATTTATTATTACAATTATTATTCCCATTTGACAGATGAGAAAACTGAGGTTCAGATTTGTCCAAAGTCAGCCAGGACTTGATTCCAGATAAGTTTAACACCAAACTTGAGGGTGGGGTGGGTGGGGTGGGTGGGTAAGGGAGAAGGATGCCATGAAAAATGTAGGTGTTATAAAGACAAAACATGTCATCGTGAATTTATTTTTAAAAAGCGACACACCAAAGTCTCTAGTTGCTGGCCCCAAGTACAGTTGGACTTTAGAGAAGGGCAGGGTTCAGTGTGAGTGGAGAAGTCAGGACAAGCAGGGGTCCTGGAGGAGGCTGGACTGTGCCTGGCCTAGAAAGACCAGGAAGCTATGAGAGGATCTTTGACCATGGCCGGAGCAGATTCATGGAGACCCAAGTGAACCTGGGTAGGGATGGTAGGGAGCCCTACCAGACCAGCATGAGATGAAATTGGGCAGGTGGGTCGGCCCCGATTACAGTGGGCCCCCAACTCAGCTCTCCACCGGCCTGTACAAACAACAGAATGTCAGCTTCTTAAGACCAGGATTGGAATAGGCCAGGGATGGAAACTGTCCTGATGACTGCATTGGTGTGGAGAACTTTCCAGTGAGGAAAGTGGGTCCACCAGGGCAGGTTGGCACCTTCTCTGCCACTTACAGTCATAGTGAATTGCGGAGAGCACCCAACTTGTCCAGGCGTTACATGGTCAGGATGATTCTGATAGTAAATGTTTGTGATTGTTGGTTAAATGGAGGAAGTCGAAGACTGACCGTCCCTCCAGGAGCATGCAGGAGGTGGTAGGAGTGCCCCAGTGAAACTCATGAATTCCACTGGACATTAGAGTCGAGGGGCATGAAATTGTAAAGGAAAAGGGGCAGGGGGAGACCTGGCATTCAGAGAGAAACATTGTCTCACTCAAGTCTCGTGGTGGCTTTACAAGAGAGGTGCTACAGAGATGATCACTCCCATTTTACAGATGAGAAAATTTAGTCTCAGAGAGGTTAAGTGACTTGCCTGGGAATGCACAGCTAGTCAGTGCTGTAGCTCATACATAGCGGAGATGGGTTGGGTCAGGTGTAGAGAAGGAAGTGAATTTTGAGCTGGGTCTGAAGGAATGGTTTGGTGAAAGAGAGAGGTGTTGGAGCCTAGCGAGCAGAGCGGAGCAGAGTTCATGGGGGGCATCAGATAGAAGTCCCTGCATGAGATGGAGTACAAGCTCTGGAGGCTGAGGACCCAGGTTCAGATCCTGTCTCTGATACTTATTATATGTGCGACCTCTAACATTAATTTGCTTAACCTTCCTCAGCCTCAGTTTGCTCAGCTGTAAAATGAAAGACTTGACTGAGATTTCTGATGCCCTCGTTCAATAACAGTCACTAAACTTAAGGATTTAGACCTGGAAGGGACCTTGGAAATGCTGTATTCTGTCCCCCCACCCACTCCCCATTTTACCAGTAAGGACACTGAGGCTCAGAGAGTTGAAGTGCTTGCCTGGGACCCCTCCTGGAGCTAGTTAGGATTGTCAGTGGGATAGGATCCGAGCTCCTGACCTGGCCAGGCACAGCACTGGCTCTGTTAGCTCAGCCCCTTCCTTTTGCAGACGGGAAACCTCGGCCCAGAGAGCTGGCCCACAGGCAGCTGCTTTTTACTAGGGATGTATTTTTTTTTAATTTCTCTTTTATAGCAGTAGGCTGAGCAGTTGGAAACTGTCCAGTCTACTCAAAGATCTCTTCCCATAGAAAGAGGTTCTCAGTGACCTACGAGGCCTCAGCTGTTTGGCTGCCTGTCCCATCTCTTTGCCCCTCTCTTATTTATTCCTCTCTGGCTGACCCCGTCCTGTCTGTCTGCCCCTGGCTCATCTGTCTGCCTCCATCCTCTCTGGCTGACCCCATCCTGTCCGTCTGACCCCGTCCTGTCCGTCTGGCCCCATCCCATCCATCTGGCCCTGTCCTGTCCGTCTGGCCCCATCCCATCCATCTGGCCCTGTCCTGTCTGTCTGCCCCTGTCCCATGGGTTTTGGATAATCACATGTGAGGTCGCAGCCCTATGATTTCATCTGCTCACCAGCAGCGGCTTTCCTGTCATTACAGAGCACATACTGTCACACCATGGTCCAGCACTGTGAAACCCTGAACCGCTCAGTGCAAGTGGTGAACCTGGATCCTGCAGCTGAGCACTTCAGCTACCCTGTGATGGCAGGTAAGCACACAGTGGCAGTGGCAGCAGCAGCAGCGTCCTTTCTTCCTTCTTCCTGAAGAGCTTTACCCTGCTCTCCCACCCGTGGACCGCAGCTATCCACGGCCGCATCCAACACGTGATGAATCTGCCGGTACAGGGTGGTGACAGGAAGCCAGGAACGAATGCATTTATTGAGCCCTTACTGTGTGCCGGGCACCTGAGTTAGAAGGAAAAAGCAGAAGCAGGCCTGCCCTCAAGGAGTTTGCATTCTGGTAGAAGAGACAAGGTCATTATTCCCTTGGTTCCTAGTCTGAAGCCAACCTCAAGTTAACTTCCAGGGAACTTTAGGAACCATTTATTAAGCCCCTACTATGTGCAGATAATAGCTGATTCACCTTAGTTCAACAAGCATTTATTAAGTGCCTGCTGTGTACCAGACACTGCTGGGTGCTAGGGATAAAAGTGGTCCCTGACCTCAATAGGGGATGCAGCACATAGAGAGAGAAGCAAACACAAGATAATCAAAGCGGGCTGCAGCTTAGAGCAGTAGACAAAGCATCTGCCACCTTTAGAGTCTTTCTGCCTCCGCCTCCGCCTCCCGTTGCCTGTGGGACCTGGGTTCAAGTCTATGGGTACATGCTTCACCAGCCAACTTCCAGCACTTCCAGGCTTTCTTCTTCTGGGGGATGCCAGGCCTTGTTCTTCTGTAGTCCTCCCTAGAGGATCGACCTCTGTAGGGGGCAGGAGGCCTTCCTGGGGCTCTTTTAAAGTGTCATGGCTGCCATGGCATTACCATCTGAGGGTCCCCTGCCTCGTGCTGCATCTCTTGACCACCCCCCTTTTCTAGTCATACGTGCTAAGGGTTTCCTAAGGAGGCCATGGCATTGAGAGGTGAGTCATACGTCATGGTAACCCCCAAAATGTATTTGCTTTGGCCAAGTTGGATTTATACCAGGCGTGCAAGGATGGTTCAGCCCTAGGAAAACAGTTAATATCATTAATCCTGTTAAAAACAAAAACACCTCCAACCACATGGTTTTATGCAGGAAAGGCCATTGACAAAGTCCACCATTTATTTATGCTTTTCAGAAAACAAACACCAACCTACAAAACTGAGGTATAGAAGGGTTGTTTTTTAATACGATCAATAGAAGTGTCTTTTGAAGTGGACAGAGCCCCAGGTTTACTCTGGACAAGTCTCTTCACTCTGGGAGCCTCACTTTCTTCATGGGGTAGGCAGGCCTCATTCTAGGTCACAGGATCCTCCATCTGGAGCTGGAGGGGACCTTACGAGTCCTCCAGGCCAATCCTCTCATTTTATGGATGAGGAAACCCAGACCCCAGAGAGCTAGAGTGATCGGGACCAGTGTACCTGGTCACTGGGTCCAAGATCTGGCCGAGCTGGGATTCACACTCCTGGGATTCCTGTGACTCCCCAAGTCCAGGGCTTTTTGTGCTGTTTCTCAATTAGCTTTCCCTGTAACCCTGCCACTTACCCACCCTTCTTCCAAATTTCCCTCTTTCTGTCAAGGTCCCTGTGTTAAAACCGTATCTCGTCCTGGTCCCCCTGTCGGCCCCCCACCGCCACCCCCTCTGGTCAGTATGGTAAATTTATAAGTAGCCAGTATAAAGAGGCAATAGCAGGAAGTGAGATTACAAGGGGGAACCTGGAAGTCATGTACAGACTGTCCCAAATATCAAAGCCTTGTGAACCGTATCGCGGATTCACCAAGAGCCACGTCCTGGTAACATGTGCGCTGAACTAGGGGAAGCCATCCAGGCACCGCGGCCTAGGCCTTTAGGTCCTGTGATGTGCAGATCCCAGACATTCCAGCCATCTGCAGGAAGACTGGGGTGCTGATGACTTTGAGGTGCCCTGGAGCTGTTAACTTGAAAGTTGTACCGACAACTTCGAGGCCATCTGGATATGTTAATGAGCTGGCTCCCAGGTGGCGCAAATAAGAGTTAGACTTTTCCCCCCAAACCCTATGAAAAATAAACCTCCAACTCCATCCCACTCCCCGAAGCTTGTCCATCTCTATCGGGTCCACGCTACCAAGTGCTGTGCGTGCTAATCCACGGTGACGTGAGTGATTCTCCGTGCTTCTCCCCTTCCTCATCTTTTCCCGGGCTGCTTGCCTTCCTCTACCACCCTATGCCCATCTCTTTGCCATCTGCCTCCCTACCCCCTTTTGGCTGCTCATCTCTATACCTTCTGGGCCTGTTCGCCCCCATACTTTCTGTGCCTTATTAAAGTGTGATTGCCGTGGACAGAGCACTGGCCTGGAGTCAGGAGGACCTGAGTTCAAATCCAACCTCAGACACTTGACATTTACTAGCTGTGTGACCCTGGGCAAGTCACTTAACCCAACTACCTAGCCTCACTCCCCGCTGCCATCACAGTCTTTCTTGGTGAGTACCCAGAGAACCACGAATACCTGCGCCGTTTGCTAATTTCATAAATTAGTTAGCAGTTCAGGCCCCATCCTCCTCTTACCCCTCCCTGTCAGGTATGTTTGCAGCCTCAGTCATCCTCCAGCTTTTCATTCTTCCTCTACTCCTCATCTCCAGTGGTGTGATGGATCTTCAGAGTCCTCCCTCCACAACCTCCTCTCAGACACATCCCTTTCCTCCCCTCACAGGTGTCCCCTGGCCCTCCTCACCTCTCCCGTGGACTCTGCAACACCTCCCACCTGGGCTCCCCATTTGCAGCCTGTCTGTCCCAACTGGTCCTTCGGGGGCAGCTAGATGGTGCAGTGGATAGAGTACTTGTCCTGAAGTCAGGAGGATCTGAGTTCAAATCCAGCCTCAGACCAAACACTTGACACTTAATAGCTGTGTGACCCTGGGCAAGTCACTTAACCCCAATTGCCTAAAAAAAAAAAAAAACTGGTCCTTCACAGAACAGCCAGAACAGCCGGGCTCATTACATGAGACCCCGTCACACACTGGGTACTAGCCAAACCAGCCTACTTCCTGATCTTCTTACACAATTTCCCTTCTCCTTTCTCTGTGTTGTGTGTGGGCATGCCCATTAAATTAAGGGCCCATGCCTTTAGTGCCCTTCCCCTTCCACACCTATGCCCTTCAGCCCTTAGCCTCCCTGATTTCCTTTACAGCACAACCCAGGCTGGGCCTCCTCCTTTTATGCTCTTCACGAGCCCCCAGCTGCTGGGGCAACCACATCGAAATTACCTTATGTTCGTTATGTCTATATTTTGAATTTACTTATATGCACCTATGCTGTTTGCCCTGCTAGAACACAAGCTGCTTGAGGGCAGGGACTGCTCCATTCTTTGTCTTTCTATCCCTAGCACCCAGAGCAGTGTTTGGCGCATGGCGTGGCCAAGTCTGGGTTAGTGCAGATGATGAAGCACATTGTCCATGGGGTCACGTACCTGACTGAGCAACTGAAGAGCAAATGATGAATCCCGTGATGTGGTTGCTTGTATTCAGATTTGTATTATTCAGAGTTATAATTTTGTAGTTCCAGGCCAATGGAAATATCAAGTTTAACTTTGAAGAATGTGACCATGAGATTCCTAATGAATTTTTAAAAATTGACTGATTTATTTATTTTTAGTTTTCAGCATTCACTTCCATATGCTTTTGAGTTTTCAATTTTCTCCCCCAAGATGGCATGCAATACTTATACATTCATATTAAACATTTTCACATTAGTCATGTTGTAAAGAAGTATTAGAACCAATGGGAGGAACCATGAGAAAGAAGAAACAGAACAAACAACAAAAGAAAAAAGATATCAAACAGTCTGCTTCCATCTGCATTCAGACTCCATAGTTCTTTCTCTGGTTGTGGACAGCATTTTCCATCACGAGTCTTTTGGGGCTGTCTTAGATCATTGCTGAGAAGAGCCAGATTCCTAATGAATTTTAATGATGTGGCCACTTCTCAGAATTCCTCGTTCGCAGTCGTCACGATGCTTAATGAGTGCTTGTTGAGTGGTTATCGATCACAGACCGTCATTGGCAGCAGCGACGGCCTCCTTGGGGGGGGTGCGACGCTGGCCTTGTCCTTTCAGACATCCGAGAGCTGATTGAGGTGGACGACGTCATGGAGGATGACTCACTGAGGTTCGGCCCCAACGGCGGCCTGGTCTTCTGCATGGAGTACTTTGCTAACAACTTTGACTGGCTGGAGAGCTGTCTTGGGCACGTGGAAGACGACTACATCCTGTTTGACTGCCCAGGCAAGTGCCCATTTCTCATTCCATAGTTGGATGGGCAGGAAGAGAAAAGGGACCGGGCTCTGCGGCAGCAGGCTGCAGATGCAGTGGAGAACGGACACATCCTGAGTCCAAATAATGCTTCTGATGCTTATTGCTTGTGACCTTGGGCAGGTCACTTAGGCCCTCTGGGCCTCTGATAGCCTCTCAGGTCCCTCCCAACTCTAAATCTGTGATCCTATCAATCAGTCAATCAACAAACTTGTTGTAAGATTCTACTATGGGGCGGGCTGGGTGGCTGTGTGAGTAGAGCACCAGCCCTGAAGTCAGGAGTTCAGATCTAACCTCAGTCACCTAGCTGTGTGACCCTGGGCAAGTCACTTAACCCCAGTTGCCTCAAAAAATAAAAACGAAAGCTAAAGACTCTTTGTCCTCCAGCATCCTGTGACATGACATTAGTTTGCTCTTTCCTTCCTCCTCTTACCCCTTCTTTATGCTGGATTGTCAGAGATTCTCAGAGTTGGAGGGGATTTGAGAAGCCTTTCAGTCCAACTCTTACCTGAAAAAGAGGCCCCTCGTTAGCATCTTGGATACGTGGTCATCCGGCCTCTGGCCGAAGGCCTCCAGTGAGAGGCAGCTTGGTCGCTCCGAAGGCGGCCCATTCCACTGTTCTGACATTGAGCCAAAGCAGTCTCCTGCTTCTGCCTCTGCGGTCAGACAGAACTAGCTGTATCCCTGTGTCACATGACAGGCCTTCATGTCCTCGAAGCTCTTCTCCAGGCTAACTCTGCCTGGTCCTCCTCTGTCCCGAGCGCCTGGCCCTTCCCCGTCCTGGTTGTGCTCCTCTGGATGCTCTGTCTTATCGCAGGCCTCCTGATGAGGTCCATCAGGCGGTGGACAGTGGGGTGATGACGTCTCATTTCTGGAACGTAGGCCCAAGATTGCATCTGCTTTGTTCGGCTGACGTCGGTTCGAATGGGGGTGGACAGCACATAGATCAATCTATATAAAATGAAAGCAAAGAAGTGAGGGAGTGAGGACCCCAGCCTTTGTGGAGGGTGATGGATCAGAGAAGGCTTCATGAAGAAGGGGATGCTCATACTGTCTTGAGAGGAAAGAGGGATTCTGTGAGGCAGAGGTGAAGAGAGTGCATGCCAGGTATAAGGGACAGCCAGTAGGGTGGGAGGTGAGCATTGTCTATGAGACACAAAGGAAAGGCCAGTTTGACTTGACAGTAGCATATTAGAACAGGGGTAGTGTAGGAAAAGGCTGGAATGATAGCTTGATACCTCCCTGAGACAGTAGGGAGCCACTGGAGTTTCTTGACTACAGGAGTGTCTCGGTCAAATTCATAGTATAGAGGATGTCCTGGAAAGGGGAAAGACTTGAGGAAGGAACAATGAAGAGGTTACAGCTAGAATCCCTACACAGAAAGTTGAGAACAGATCTCGACCTCAAGGATCTCCTATTCGGATAGGAAAGACAGTGAGCAAACAACCGCAGGTGTACAAGATAAATCCAGGGTGGGTGGGAGGCGATCTCAGAGCAAAGACACCAGTGTTCAGGGGTAGCGGGAAAGGTTTCTTGGGGAAGGTGGGATTTTAGAGGCAGGAAAGGGCTGCAAAAGTCAAGTGGAGGATTTTATTTTATTTTACTTATTTTGCTTTTTTTGGTGAGGCAATCAGGGAGTGTTTGAGCCGAGGGGACCTTACTAAAGCATCTATTCGTCTCTCACGGTCTAGAATATTATTTTCTTTTTCTTTCTTTTTTTTTTTTTTTTTTTTTGGCTAGGCAATGGGGTTAAGTGACTTGCCCAGGGTCACACGGCTAGTAAGTGTTACGTATCTGAGGCCGGATTTGAACGCAGGTCCTCCTGACTCCAGGGCTGGTGCTCTATCCACTGTGCCACCTAGCTGCCCTAGAATATTTTTTTCTTTAATCCCAGTAGAATGAAAGCTCTTTGAGGGCAGGGATTTTGTCTGTGGTTTGTTTTTCTTTGATGGTGTTCCTGGCGCCTGGCACACGTACGTAGTGCCTTGCACTGCGCAGGGGCCCAATCAAAGTTTGCTGAATTGTGTTGATTTCCTATTTGTGCCCGTTTCTTCCTCGAGGCGCTAATGTCCATCGTGTCCTTGGTGCAGGGCAGATCGAGCTCTATACTCACTTGCCGGTGATGAAGCAGCTGGTGGAGCGCCTGCAGCAGTGGGAGTTCCGCGTCTGTGGGGTGTTTCTGGTGGATTCTCAGTTTATGGTGGAGTCGTTCAAGGTATGACTGCAAGGCCAGAGGCAGCTGGCATGGTGGCTAGAGTGTTGAACTGGGAGTCTGGAACTCCTGGGTTCAGATCCTACCTGTGGAATCAGGAACACCTGGGTTCAAATCCTACCTATGGCACTTAACTAACTAGCTGCAGACACTACATGTCTCTGAATATCAGGCAATTCTCTAAGGCTTCACCTTGTGGATGGGATGTAATCTGCCCCAGGAAAGGGATTTCCCACCCAGGGAGTTCCCAGATAGTTGAAGTCACAGGTTCCTTGACATGTTGACACATGGGTGTGGGTAAAAAAATAACACCGTGTCCTAGCGTGTAGGGTTTCAGTCCTATAAATGCACCCACCTTCTCCCTGGTGTTAGTGAAAGCTCCTACAGTTTTTGCCTTTCTTTGTACTTTGTACTTAGCACAGTGCATGGTACCTTTTTGTTGTTGCTGTTCAGTCTTTCAGTTGTGTCTGACTCTCCATGACCCCATTGGGGGTTTTCTTGGCAAAGATACTGGAGCAGCAGTTTTCCATTTCCTTCTCCAGCTCATTTTACAGATGAGGAAACTGAAGCAAACAGGGTGAAGTGACTTGCCCAGGGTCACACAGCTAGGAAGTCTTTGAGGACAGATTTAAACTCAGGAGTCTTCCTGACTCCAAGCCTGGTGCTCTATCCACTGTGCCACCTAGCAGCCCATATGGTATATAGTAAATATTTAATAAATGGTTATTGACTGACTAATAGGTTTGTGATGAAAGCAGATGAAACCCTAACTACCAAGGAAATAGGGCTGATACAAATGCAGCGTTCCATTGTCAGCACTTCCGTTATTTTCTGTTCTGCCTGTACGCCTGAGGAATTGCTCAGAATCTGGGTCAGGCCTACCTTTCAGGACTTACCTCATACTACTTGTTCATTTATTATTAAGCACCTACTGTGTGGCGGGCACCATCACTAGGTGTGATAGAGACAAAAATGAGGCAGTCACTTCCCTCAAGGAGCTTATATTCTGTGGGAATGCTGATGGAGGGGACACAATATGTACACACCTAAGCAAATATATAACATGTCTACATAAAGTTGTTGGGGCTGAGATGAGAGAGATCAGTAAGCTCCCTGCACCCAGACTGTGTTCCAGCCAAACTGGCCTCCATGGTCTGCCCTAACCCGGCCTTTCATCTCCCAGGCAGTCTGTCCCAAGCACCCTCCTGACTTCTCTCCTCCGCCTCAGTCTTAAATCCTCCTTTTCTCCAACTGCTACCTCCTGCAGGTGACATGCTCATCCTTATCTTCCCTCAAGTGATAATCAGATCAATCAAATGAGCTGAAGCTGGGAAAGCCTGTAGCACATAATTGGCTCTTAATAAAGGCACTTAATTATCTCTGTAAATGTTGGTAGAAGGGAAGCTCCTTGGCCTTTGCTATCCCAGGCGCCTTGCAGTGGCAAGGACTTAATAAATCCTCTGGAGTCGAATCGAGGTTGGGGGTCTCCGTGACCACAGGGAGGCCTTGGATGAGCCTTCTCTGCCCTTAGAGGGAGCCTAAGCTTCAAGTCAGAGCTGGGTTCAAGTTCTGGCTCTGCTCAGGAGGGGAAGGGACCAAGCATTTCTGAAGAGCCTGCCGGGTGCCAGGCTCGGTGCCAAGGCTTCCTCAGAGTCAGCTCGTTTGATTGATTTGATGATCTCACTTGAGGGAATGAGGAGATCCCCTGCAGGAGGCGGCACCTGAGCATTCCCAGGGGCTTTCTGGGCTTGTGGGATGAAAGGCCAGGGGAGGGTGGAACACAGTTCTAGGTCCAAGAGTGTGACTCCGTGAGCCTCCATTTCCTCATCTCCACACAGGGGCAATAACAACTGCACCTGCTCCCTCCCCCCAGGTCAGTGTCCTGGAGCTGGCAGCCCCACTGGTGGCAGCTTGGTCCAGGGGTGAGGCCTGCCTGGTCCAGTCTTCAGGCCACCTGATTGAGGGCAGGAGATAAGAATCGCTGTCTTTAGATAGTGCTCGGAGGTTTCTCTGAGGAGAACCTAGAAACCGCACTTGTTGGTGGCAGGTTTTCGAACGGTTTCATGAGAGGGAAGGTCAACACTGTTGACGCCGTGTAGCTGTTTGCCAGACTCAGATGTCCCATCTCCCGTCTCCAGGCTTTTGCATAGGCTGTCCCTCCTGTCTGAAATGCGCGTCCTCCACGTCTTAGGACCCTGAGCTTTTGACCTAAGGGCCAAAGCCTCCAGGAGCCCTTTCCTGACTCCCTCCCCAGGGTTCACCGGTCTCACCGTCTTGGTGTTTCACTGTGATCGTGGCATAAGCTCCTCGAGGGGCTGGGACTGTTGTCTTACCAAGCTCTCTGTCTCCAACCCCTGACACCGGGTCTCACAGCAGAGGCCTGTGGAAGTCCCTGCTCATTTGGCCCATCTGCTTGAGACAGATTTACTAATGATCGAAATTCAGGTATTTCTGCTTAGAGAGAAAGATCTGTCCTGCTTTCTGAAAACCTCTCTGGCCCAAGACATTTTCTTCTTACAGTTTTATGGCGTTCAGGAGACAAAGATGGCATTCCACAGTCGAGATTAAACAGGGTACAAAGTTTAGGTTTGAGGTTTTGATTTGCTTAAACAACAGTTGTAACTTAGCAACCCATTTCTGAGTAGGATGCTGACTTCATATCTCCGTGTTTCCCTTAATAAGGGAAGGGGCAGGGTCTTAGTTAACTTAGATAACTATTTGTTGCATTTAATTGAACGTGTTCAGACTTTCCCTGTGACTGAGCAGTGACTGACCAGTTGATTCTTTCTTTTCAGCTTTGGCCAGTCAGGAGCAGAAGGTGCTCATTCTTTGCAGTCACCAGCGAACCCACCTAGAGACGGCCAAGCATCTCATCTTTCCTTGTCTCTTTCCTCCTACAGTTTATCTCTGGAGTTATGGCTGCCCTCAGCGCGATGGTGTCTCTGGAAATCCCGCAGATTAACATTATGACCAAGATGGATTTGCTGAGTAAGAAAGCGAAGAAGGAAATAGAAAAGTGAGTTCTTCCATGACACAGCTTTTGTCCTGAGGGTCAAGGCTACTGAAATTCGTAACCTCTTACTTACGTAGCCACTCACTCACTGCCCATATGTGGGCCTCAGTTTCCTCATCTGTAAAATGAGAGATTAGACCAGATGGTCTCTGAGGACCTTTCCTGCTCAATACCTGTGAGCCTCAATCACTTCACCTCTGAGGGCCTCAGTTTCCTCCTCTTACAGAAGATGAAGTCAAAGTCCTCTGAAGTCCCTTCCAGCTCAGAATTTCTGAGCCTTGGAGAAGCCCAGGGAATAGTTCTCTCACTGACACTCTCTCTCTCTCTCTCTCTCTCTCTCTCTCTCTCTCTCTCTCTCTCTTTCCTTGTCAAGGTTCCTTGATCCTGACATGTATTCATTGATAGAGGATTCTACGGGCATCTTAAGAAGCAAAAAATTCCAAAAGCTGACGAATGCCATCTGCGGATTGGTGAGCTTTCCAATTGTGTTCAGACGTTGACCTGGAAACATAAACAGTAACACACACTGTAATGTAGTGAAAGCAGACAGGCGGTTTTCTTTGGGTTTTGAGGGCATCCTGAGTATCTCCCTTGCTGCTCTTTTCCATTTGTTGCCCCCAAAGGATCGGTCGTCCTGGGGCCCTGGGGAGCAGAGGCATAACCAGGCTTAGGAGCTGCCTCCTTCATGAAGCTTTTCCACCCATCCCTTCTCTGTACGCACAGACAATCTTAAATATTTAGTGTACAGTTTTCCTTGGACCATCTAGATGCATGTTGTTTCTGTCAACAGAATCTAGGCCCTTTGAGGGCAGGGACTGTTAATGGTTTCATCAATTTGTCCTCTGTGCCAAGAGCTGTGCCTATACTTTGTAATAGGTTCCTCCAGTTAGAGCTGCAAGAGGTCAGGTCTGTCCACCTCATTTTGGGTATGAGGAAACTGAACCCAGAAAGTTAAGTGACTTGCCCAGGGTCATTTAGCTAATAAGCTTCCAAGGCAGGATTTGAACCCTCATTTTCTAGTGCCCTATCCAGTATACTGTGGTTGATAACAACAAATTTAATAAATGGTTGTTCATTGACCCTCAAACTGGTGAATTCAGGGTTACTCTAGAGGCAATCCCATATGTTGGCACTGCCCGAGGAATCTCCCTCAGGCAGGGGTTCCTAACCTGGGGTCTGTGAACTTGGATTTTTTATATTTTGACAGTTGTGTTTCAGTATAATTGATTTCCTTTGTAATCCTATGTTTTATGCATTCAAAAACATTCTGAAAAGGGTCTGTAGGTTCCAGTCAGTCAGCCAGCATTTGTTAAGGTCCTCTGATGTGCTGGGCCCTGTGCTGATAAGCACTGGCTTAGAGGAGCTCATAGTGGTGAAGTCCCCTGGAGGGGTCAGCTGTCATTGTTCCTCTTTGCAGATCGATGACTACAGCATGGTCCGGTTTTTGCCCTATGACCAGTCGGACGAAGAAAGCATGAACATAGTCCTTCAGCACATTGACGTCACCATTCAGTACGGAGAAGACTTGGAGTTTAAAGAGCCAAAGGTAATTTGGGAGCTTAGGTGACATTTTTGTAAAAATGTTTCATCAATGATTAAAAAACAAACACAGTCGTCTTCTGTTCCCCAACATTTGAACCCTCCATTGTGACAAAGAACGACAGCTTAGCAAAACCACCTACCAGGGGACTGTGTCTTACAGTGTATAGGCATCTTCCCCTACCAAGAAGGACTGTTTTTTTTTTAAATCAGTCTTTCTATTTTTATTGATTTATTGATTTATTTATTTTTTGGTTAGGCAATGGGGTTAAGTGACTTGCCCAGGGTCACATAGCTAGTAAGTGTTGTGTGTCTGAGGCTGGATTTGAACTCAGGTCCTCCTGAATCCAGGGTCGGTTCTCTTTCCACTGCGCCACCTAGCTGCCCCAGGACTGTGTCTTACAGTGCATAGGCATCTTCCCCTGCCGAGAAGAAGGAAGTGTGTCTCACCATCTGCTCTTTAGGACTAGGATCCAGCCTCATGGTCGTGACAGTGAATCTGACATCATTGGGCTCGTGGTGTCACAGTATCGTGGTTGTGTGCATATCCTCTTTGTCCTGCTTTCTTTGCTCTGCATAAGTTCATACTAGTCTTTCCAGATTTCTTGACTACACAAAAATATTCCATTACATTCACATGCCAGAATTTGTTTATCCTATCAATGGGGACCAACTTTGCTTTATAGTTTGTGCTGCTGCCAAAAATGGCTGCTAGGTTATGGGTTCTTCTGTACTCCCAAAAAAATCAAAGACATGAACAGAGATCCAAAATATATCAAAATTATTCATAGCAGCATTTCTTTTTTGAGTAACAAATTTCTTTTTTTTTTTTTTAGTAACAAATAACTGGGGAAGGTGGGAAGTGAATACCCATCAATTGGGAAGTGGCTGAAAAAACCCATGGTATATGAATGTAGTGCAGTATTATTGTGTCTTAAGAAAGGATGAGTAGGAGAAATTCAGGGAAAGACTGCAAGAGTTATACGCACTTGGGCAGAGGAAGTAAGTCAAACCAAGAGAATGGTGTGTACAGTAACCACAGTGGTGTTGTCTATGAAAAGATCGTGAGCGGGAGGTTGGGTCTCTGGGCAGTGGACAACCAGGGAACATCCTTTGGAACTAGGAGGAATGTCTGGTATACGTGGCACTGTTCCTCTTTGGCTTCAGAGGAGTTTGTGCCCAATAGCAAAGTCACTGGCTCTGAGAACACAAGCTGCTTAGTGACTTTTCTCTAAGAATTCCCTATTTAGTATTAGTGTTTAGTATCTGTATTTTGTGAAGAATCAAGACACCTCGACCTTCTTCGTCCAATTCTTTCCACTGTGTAGTATTTGGGAAACAGATGAATATTTGACTTGTCCTTGATGACTGCCTGACCCCTTTCCAAACAATCTGAAGATTTGATACCAGTTCTGAAAAGGGGTGTGGTGTTTCTTCTTGTCTTTAGAAGTCAGTTCCCTGTAGGCAGCTGTACTTGAGTTAGGGCTGTCTGTAAGTGGAACTTGTAGGATTAAAGAAGAGTGGAAATCTAACTGTCGCCCTGTTCCTTTTGTATGTGGGTGTTAAGAGCAGCCGTGTTCAAGGACACCTGCAAGCCCTTATCGGCCCGCTCAGCTGCCTAGCAGTCAGTAGAGGTGAAGAGAAGTAAATCCCACCTTTTCTGACAGCTTAATTTGCCAGGTCAATCAAGAAAAAGATAATGATATACAGAGAGAACAAAGGGAGTTGAGGCTGAGATGGGGGGATGGACAAAATTCACTAGTCTTTTCAGTCTTCTTTTCAATGTCTTGATTGGTTTTGCTGAAATTTCTTTCTCTTATTATTTAAAAAAAAAAATTCTTTGTTTTAAGACGTGGCCCTCCAGGAGAGGGGGGAGGGATGTAGGTGGAAATGAATACAAAAGTCATCAATAAAATCTATTTTAAAAAAGAAAAAGAGCTGGCCGATGGAGCTATGTGTCCGGGGAGGCTTACCAACCACAACATTCCTAGCAGTTGGTGGACAATATTAGGTGACCTTGAAGGTAGGTGGACAGGCTAGTCACTGAAGGTAATAAAATGCCCAGGCTGTCCAAAATGCCCGTCTATTCTAATGAATAGCAGCTTCTACTGACTCCTTCATTTCAGCTCTGACTTAATGGGTCAGAGACCCATTTCACTTGTTAGTTCTTATCACACCTGACCTGGCTGGGGCAAATGTTCTCAAAGCTCTACTTCCTAAATTGTGATGAAGAAATTACCTTTCACTTCCTCCTAACCTACTCCTGCTTTATGTAAATCACGAGCAAGCTAGCTGGAGAAGACTCAAAAGACCTTTGTTTCTCACCCCTCCCTCTGGCCTCTCCCCGTCTTGTCCCTGCACTGGAATCCCACACCCAGGAGACTTTTCCAGGTGATTTGGCACTTGTAGGATCTGTGCCCGTGTCTACAAGGAACTATGTCTGTCTTAGTAGCGGGTCTTTGGCCCCAAAACATGGAACATTTGCCAGATATTAGCCCATTATTAATCATTACCTGAAATACCCACCCCTAAGTGGCACATTTAAGAAAAAAAACAGTTTTTAAAAATAAACTTTCTTTTGTTTCTTTGCTGTAAGGAATCTGAAGAAGAAAAATCATCTATGTTTGATGAATATTTTCAAGACCGAGGGGATGAATGAAGATATTTAATCAGAGCTTTGCAGGCAGAATCTTACCAAGACTCATTTTTAGCCTCAGGAAGAAGTGGATAGAGGATTCATCTTTCCAAAGCAGAAAGAGTACGGCTAATCCACAATCTGAACGTTGTTACTTCTCCTTCCCCCCAGCCCCCCAAAGAAAAAGATTAATTTGGGAAATCTACATTGGCGAATGTTTCCAAATGAAGTCCCAAGTTCTCTAGGATGTATATTATTTGTTTGAGGGAAGACAGGTTCTGGGCTATAAACATGGCCTGACGAAGGATTCCCATTTAGAAGAACGACTTGAATTTGTAAAAAGCTGGTTTGAGACTCCTATTTATTCAATGTGTACAGATAAGCCCTTGGTGCTGCTGTTTGTCCTAGGCAGGGGCCCAATTTACTGTCATTTTGGGGAAAGGATAGTTTGCATTGTGGTGTGGAGGTGTCAGAGAGGGAGATTGCAGCTTGCTGTCAAGAAGGAAGACTTCCTGATGACTGGAGCTAACCCCAGATGGCATGGGGCTCCTCGGGAGCCGGTGGCCTGCCCAGCTTCCCACAAAGGCAGAGCATGAATGAATGAATGAAGGTTCAGATTGGGCCAGATGGCCTGAGGGTTCTCCTCACTCAGAGATTCTTTCCTGTGGTTTTGCTGTTGGAAAAATGATTGCATTCCCCTCCCTCAGAATAGATTGCTTAAAAATTACTTTTATAATAAAAATAATAATAAAAAATAAAATGTGATGTCTGAGTTGTCCATAGCCCTTTCGTATTCCAAATTATATTTTGACACCCCCCCCCTTTTTTGGTCCAGACTTAAATACCCTGTACCAGATGCAAATCGACAGCTGTGTGTAACTTAACCATATTAATGAATTTCCTGGGTTTCTTAGAGGTTGTGACTTTCCCAAGGTCACACAGCCAGCAGGTAACAGAAGGACGTTGGAAGCCACGTCCTTCTGACTTCTCTGCCCCATGTCTTACTGCCTCATCCAAATTCTTACCAAGGACAGTTCTTGGTGAGTGAAGAGAGTCGAAATTTAGTGATTCCAAAACAGTGAAAAATCATGGTCTTCCAGCGAGCTAACTGAAACTGGGCAGACATTGCAAAATATCTGAAAAATGCTTTTGTTTCCTCTGTTTAATCTTTTAGACTTCCTTAATCTGGCCAGTCAATCAACATTAATAAGGAATTCTGTGCTTGGTGTTGTGCCATACAAGTAAAAACCAGTCCCTGCCCTCAGGGAGCTCACAGGCTAATGGCTGAAGCTCAGTTGTACTGCCACCTAGGGACCGTTGTAGATACTAAGATATGACAGGAACTGTTCAGTTGTTTGAATTGTGTCCAATTCTTCCTGACCCCATTTGGAGTTTTATTGGCAAAGATACTGGAGTGGTTTGCCATTTCCTGCTCCAGCTCATTTTACAGACAAGGAAACTGAGGCAGGCAAGGTTAAGTGACTTGCCCAGAGTCACACAGCTACTAAGTGTCTGAGACTGGATTTTGAACTCAGGTCTTCTTGGCTCTGGGCCTAGTGCTCTATCCACTGCTCCATATCCTTACATAATAATATTCTGTGTGTTTTGTGTCATTCAGATTTTTTAATACCCAAGATAGCACATTATGTTTTATCTTTTTTTATTTTTATTATTTATTTTGTATTATATATTTATTATTTTATTATTTTTTTTATCTTTATTTTATCTAACACATTTCAATGATCTATAGTTTTGTCAGTCCAGGTCTTCCTTCCACTGGTGTCAAAAGCTGCTACTCTATGATTTGGTGGTTGGTCTTTTGAGAGTGGTTGGGGCCAAAAAAAAAAAAAATCACCCAGCTTCCAATCCAGTAGTGAGCCTCTTTTAATTAGGGCCAGGTCACAACCCCTGACTATGTACTTAGAGACTGTTCTAGGACCATAATCAAAACCACCCCAGTTGGGCAGGGACCCACCAGAGCTCCAGGTCCCCTGGCATAACCTTCGGAGGGACCTTGGAGGTCAAAGAGTCAAGTTTCCTCATTTTCTGGATGAGGAATTGAAGCCAAAGGAGGTTAAATGAATTTTGCAAGGTCACAAAGCTAGCAAGTGACTAAGGCAGGATTCAAACCCCAATTTGGGTCCCCACTAGACTAGGCTGAGACATCAGAGGAGGGTCTTGGGGTGGTTTCTCCAGGATATAATCAATGAGACTTTTTTTTTTTTCTTTAAGTCATGAGTCCTAGATTTCTTTTTTTTCTTAACTGGAATATTGTTGATGTCAAACTAGTAAAAAAAAAAATGCAATCCTCTGTGACTTTATCCCAAGATAATATAATGGCCAGTCTGTGTCTGGGATGTGTCATGGACCCCTTTGGCAGTGTAATGAAGCCTACAGACCCCTTCTCAGAATAATGATTTTAAATACGTAACACATACAATAATACTGAAATGGTTTTGATAATATAAAAGTTCACAGACCCCAGGTTAATGACCCCCTCGTCTATTGCATTAAAAGATTGAAGGATTTTGACATTTTATTTTTAAATGTGCATTGAACATATTTTTGTTGTGTGTAAATATGAAGTGGTTTTGGGTTTTGGTTTTTTTTTTTTTAATTTTTGGAGGGTTTTTTTGGGGGTTTGGGTTTTTTGCACTGCTGTCAAGATGCATTGTATGCATTTCAAAATAAACAGTGAAACACACACCTGGGTTATGGCTCTTGTGAATTGAAGACAATTATTAGGAAAGTGGTATCGGGGTAAGAAGCCCCTTCTCCAATAATCATGATGAGTTGTGGGATGAGATGAGTGCATCCCCTCCCCCCTCATCTCTGATTTTTGGAATCCTTTCATTTCTTCAAGGGCTAATCCCTCATCCAGCCAGCTAAAAGTATACCCTGTTTCCACCAATTTTCTTAGAGCCTTTTATCTTGATTGCTTTTCTGCCTCACAAGTGCAGTTTTTAGTGCCCTTGTTTAGACTTTTATTTTAAATATGGTCTTACTATAAAAATGTTCACATAATGTATTTTTTTATACCCCAGCTGCACTAAGAAATGAAGCCCTAAGAAATGCGTTCTCCGATGATTTTTTTACAATAAGAAAAAACGCACATTTTACAGATGAAAAAACTGAGGCCCAGAGGAATTGGTTAAGTGACTTTTGCTCGGGATCACCCATTCCCTAAGAGGTAGAATTTGAACCCAGGTCTTCCTTTTCCCAAGGCCAGCACAACGAGCAGCCAATTTACGTAAAACAGGGACTACCCTAGGATGTTTACGTTCGCCCTGCCACGCCCACGGCTTTGTGGCGCGCAGCCTCAGAAGCCACTGCAACGAGCGCTGAGCTTAAATTGCACTCTGGCCTGCGTGCCCTCGTGGGGGCCTCCGCGCATGCGCACGGGCAGAAGAGCGCGGGGCCGCCGCTCTGGCTCTCTGGCTCCCTCTAGTGTTCCCGGCGGCGACACCGGAAGCGCGTCCTCCTCCCGCCCTCGCCTCTTCCGGATCGCTTCCGGTTAGACCCCACCCGGCCGCCAGACCGGAAGTGCCGGGGTCTCTGACAGGAGCCAGTACCTTCTGCTCGCCCGAAGCCCAGGCCCGGCCGCCAGGATGCCGGTGAGGCGCGGGGAGAAGCCGAACAGGGCCCCGGGCGGAGGGGGAGCGACCCTGAAGAGTGCGAGGGGGCTTTTGGGAGAGGCCGGGGTGGGACAGGAGGAGGGGCGGAGGGGCCGGGGTGGGGGTCCGGCCCTGGGTGAGGGGTGCCCGGCAGGCGAAGGGCCCCGACCTCCAACGGGCTGGTCTGGAGGGGAGGACCATAGGCTGTTCACGGCTGGAAGCAAAGACCTGTGAGAGCGAGACCACCCATGGAATAGGTGGGGAAACTGAGGCCCAGCGCGCAAGCCCCTGACTCCTTCCTCATAGAGTAGTAGTTGTGGACCTGGGGCTTGGAGGTCACGGACCTCAGCATTGGACATGCGGGGAAACTGAGGCCTTACAGGGGAGAGCGTGACTGTTTCCTTCTAGGGCAGTGGATTTAGGATGGAGGCCTGGAAGCCAATTCCAGCCCTTTCAAGATTTAACAGGTGGGGAAACTGAGGCCCAGCGAGGGGAAAAAAAGGACCCTTTTGTAGGGTAGTAGATTCAGGCTTGGAGCCTGGAGACCACCTAGCGCAGCCACCTCGCTTGATGGTTAGGAATGAAGGCGATTCCTTTCTCAAAAGGGTGACAGAGGCTTAGAGATCATTGAACTCAGCTCCCTCCTTTGATGGGTGGGAAAGCAGGACCACAAAAGTTGTTGTGGGCTGTTCTGTTGTGGATAATTAGAACGAATATAAAAAACAGAGCCGTCATTTGACGTCCAGGGAAACGGAGGCCTGGAGAAGCATAAGCTCTTTCACATGGTAATAAAGAGTTAGAGCCAGGTATGGAGATTATCCTTCCAGTCCCTTCATTTGACAAGTTAAAGATGCTCTGAGAGGTGACACAGTGATTTTTCCTTCTCGGAACCAGAAATAGCTTTAATGCCAAAGCTTGGAAGTCCTCTAGTCCACCTTTCTTATTTGACAGATGAGGAAACTGGGATGCACAGAAGTAAGAGAGTGACTCCTTCATAGAGGAATAGATTTAGAGCAGGAACTTAGAAATTAACAAGTCCAGGTTGGCCTGTATAAGGGGCTGGGGGCTGGAGAGAAAAGAACGGCTTCTCCATAATAGAGATGTAAAAGAGATTTAGAACCTGACCTCCTCCAGTCAGATGTTTTCATTTCACATAGAAGCTAAATAACTTCCCCAAAGCCACACGGAGAATCAGATGCAAATCAGGAACTAGGACCCAGGCCTTCTAAGAGCAGCTCCGGTGTGCTCTGTCCCCTATGTCCCAGCTGCCCCCCATACCTCATATCTCTCCCTTCTCTGTTTCTGTATTCCTTTCCTTTTCTTTCCAAGCTCCAGACTCTGTTTGAATGGCAAAACTTCTCTCAGTGTCTTTTCTCCCTCTCTCTCTCTTTTTTTGTCACACTTCCTCTTCTGCTCCTACCTTTACCTTCAGCCCAACCCCCAACCCCTCCTACTGCCTCCTTTTCACTCACAGTGGCTGTGAGAGTTCTATTCCTTAATGACAACTCCTATTTTTGTAACAATTTAAGGTTTCCTCCAACAACACCAGCCCTAGGATTTACAGACAGGCAGATATAAATCTAAACAGAGAGGTAGGTTGTGCACTTACATCATAGACTGGCATTCAGTGAGTAATGAAATCTCCTTTAGCTCTAAGTCCGATCATCCCTATTTTACAGATGATGCTCAGAGGCACTCAGTGTTGGCGCAGGACTGGAACCAAGGCCAGGGTTCCTTCAGTGACCCTGTAGCTCCCTCTGCAGTCCTTCATCCAGGGTGTTTGGGCTCTGTGATCACTAGAGCCTTTTCCAGCCCCAATAATCTTTCATCCTGTGAAGAGGTTTTAGCCAGGAAACATCCACACAGCTTCCTCTTGGATGGGCTGTCCCTTTTTCTTCAATAAGATGCATCATCAGCCTGCATACAGAATGTGTAGACCACTATGTGAAGAAGGTCTGGGGGTTTTAGTTAACGACAAGTTCATTATCAGTCACCAGGGTGGCATAGCAGCCCAAAAAGCAAATTCTCTTTTAGGCTGCATATATAGTGAGTCATCGTGTCTGACCCAGAGCAGTCTAGGTCAGCTGAACTCTGCCCTGCACATTGAGAGCATGGTGTCTGTAATTTAGGAACAACACTGACAACC